GGAGGCAGGCAGAATACAGAGAATGGTCCGAAGGTCGAGAATCCAGGGGGACAGAAGCAGAGAACAATCCAGGCAGGGAGCAGGCACGTGGGCAGGTCGAGATACAGGAGCAAGGTCAGGATCTATGATTCAGGCAGAGGTAAGGAGTCCTGGAGAATTTACTGGGGTGAGCTTTACAATAATCTGGCCCTGAATGACTGGATGGCTGGTTCTTTCGTAGCAGGGGAACAGGTGTGTGAGATGAGCTGAGGAGTCAGACGCAGGTGAAGTGGATGAAGCTGATTGTGGTAGTCAGGGAAACGGGGCTTGGCTGGGGCTTGATGATGAGACCAGGTGTGCTGACCGAAGGCTGAGGAGGGTGAAGGATTGGGAGTCATGACATGAAGTTTGGAATTTGGAATACCTTTGACAACTGGTTGACAAATACTGTATTTGTCCTCTAAAGTTTATTTGTCAACCACAATCATTTTTATTAAATAACGTAGCATAAATAAAGAGTGGTGGGACCAATAATTGAGAACGCAGAGCAGCCTCGGGTCAAAATACTCCGAACACGTGACATGTTCAGCTCCCGCGTTACAGCAGTGGTGCAGACAGTAAACATAACACAGACCTCCAGCAGAGGAGAAATGCAGAACATCTGAGCAGACCATGAGAACGGCTGACTGACGCCAAAAACCAGGAGTGCCAGCAATTTAACAAAGCACCTGGTCGTGCAGGGCATCATCTCCAGAGCTGAATCTTTCACTGCAACAAAGTCAACCCGAGTCCTTCACCTTACCTAGTTAAAGTAGTATAAAGAAGTATGTGCTGGTACCCAGCCCCACTGACGCTGTTATCTTTTAAACCTGGTTTATGTTACCTAGCTACCCTTTCTGTGAGAGCTGGCACCGCTCCGCTACTGCTCGCTACCGACTGTTTTAGCAACATGTAATAAAAGATAAAGATTCACATGGCTGTGAAATAGTTAATAATTTCTTCATATAAGTGGTCTTGAAAAGGTCTTAAAAAGTCTTGAATTTAACTTGATGATACCTGTTGCATGGTAAGCCTTTAAAGGGTAAAAGTTTTTTTCTCATGCCCAGTACAAAACTTCATTATTTCCTTATGCAGAGGCTTTTTGCAATGAATACATCAGATATTTTATGAATGCTGTCATCAGCATAAAGAGCTGGGATTAAAATCTGTAACCGTTCAGGTTCCTCTGGTTCAGAACATTATGAGCTTCACTGAAATGTGAGATTACTCCAGTGGGCAAAATTAAAACAGCAACGGTTTATCCTTAGTCAGATCAGCATTAAATATGACGCTTCATGTGATGACACTTGTGATGCAGGAAAGCCCAAAATGCTGCTGTTGGTGAAAATCGGTGATAACAATGTCACAACAGTGATGCAGATGTCTCCACACCCACACTGTTCAGGATAATGGCCTGACAGCAGCTTCAGCACATCCGCACACCGAAAAGCCTCCCACCTGTTTGGCCACCTGCTCTGCAACGTAAAGCCTTATGAGTGCAAACACTCACACTTTTTGCTGATTATGGAGACTAGTTACAGCAAGACTCTGCATCAGAAACACATCTGTCACCATGTGAAGTGTGACTCGGTGCTTAGGTAGACAAGAACATCTTCAGAGTGATTGCTTTACAAATCGCTTTCTTTTAAACACAGTTGAAGCACCATTAGATAGCATAGCAGCCAATTAGTCCTGCTCTCAGTGACTTTAGAAAGGGTATCATAACTTTTCATCGCAGAACATTGGGGAATTTTAATCTGTGAGAAAAATCGGAGAAAAGTCGTTGCAGTAGAAGACAGGATTGATGGTCTAATTTGCCTAGATAGGTGAGTGTTCTACAGTTATCCAGATCACACCTCTCAGCCTCCCTGGGAGAGTTTACTCTAGTCTGTTGGAGCAGTCGCACTAACATCCAGGTCAGAGAACAATGGAACAGATCTGTTATGCAAAGTTGCTAATAGTTTGGTTTTCTACTTCCGGTGTTTTGGTGATCTGGGAAAAGCTTTGGGACTGTCCACCAAGGCATTGTGTGTGGTGGTTCTGCAGGTGCATGATGAAGAGGTGCTGGTGACCCACTTAAAGACCTGTCCCACACACAACGTGTACGTGTAGCGTTTTTACAACACACTGCCGTGGTGGCATCAGGGACCCTTAGGTTGTTTACGGGTGGTCAGACCGTGGCGGTAATGTGGCGTAATCGTGTCCTCTTTACAAAAGATTAGGAGATGGCGGCATGAAGAGGTATGGGGGCAGTCCCTGCGATGCCGCGGACTTCCGTTTCTCGTGGGCTTAACTTGCTTCTTATTGCGATTGAAGCCGTGATCTTTAAGTCTTTTAACAACTCGCCCCTAAAGGTGTCTGTCCCCATCAGTCCTGTGCAGTCTCTGGTGATCTGAGCTTCAGCTCTAACAGAGAGACGCTCCAGTTTGTCGTCTCAGCTGATTTTGCTCAAACAGCAAAACTTACTGCCCGTGTTTACTTTCATTTTCAATAAATTTGTCGGCCGGAGCTCAGCATTAACTCCCCACTTCATCATGACACTTCCCTCTGCTGCGCCATGGCACAATAGCTGCTTATAACTCAGACCATTACCGCCATATTACTACCAAGCGAGGTGGAACGAATGACGCAAAGTTCGAGCAACGCCATGCCGGCATGGCGCATTTCTAAAACACACCGTTACGGTAATATCACGCTGATTTGCTGGCATGGCGTGTCTTGTAAAAATGGCTGGCGATACCCACCAGTAGAGAGGAAAGTCAAACCTGAGCAGCTTCTGAGCAACGTCTGGAAGATTTGACCTGCTGTGTGTGGAGGTTAACCACGATTGTCGGTGGCGATGAGCTGGTGTTGTTTAGGAGTTAAGAACAAACCAAGAAAGCTAAAAATTGCCTGGTTTTTTCACCATAAACACAGATAGCTTACCAAATTGCTATACGGTCATGAAGGGGGGTCAAGTTAGGAATAATGACAAAAAAAGTGCCAACAGTGGATCAATAACTTCAAACTGAATCCTCTGGAACAAGCCTTGAATATTCCTGTTTTGCGGAGGTGTGGCTTAGGAGGGCAAGCCTGAAAGCCGGGCGTACACTGTGCGACTTTTTCACTTTTTTGAGCCGATTTTCCACTCGTGCGAGAATCCACAAGATCGGGGCGAGTTTTGCGCAGAGCGGTCGTGTAGTGTACAGGGGGTCACGAGAGGCGATCAACACCACGTGACCAGCTGCCGATCAGCAATCGTGAGCTCGCACGGACTTCTGGCATGTTTAATATTTCGCTCGTCCCTCGTGAGGGTATCGCACTGTTGAAGCAGCGCTGCGAGCAGCTGCGACCCAAAAAGTATCAGAACCGCTCACGGCGCATGCGCTATCATGCATCAACGCCGCTCGCCCGCTATTTCCCTAATAACGCACGCTGTTCGTTTTTATTTCTACATGTTTTTTTTCTCACAAAGATTGTCAAGAAAGCGTGTTTGTCGTGTTCATGTCAAATTAAACTGATCACAAAACACAGATTTACTTTCTTTATTTTGTTTTCCTCCTCCAACCCCCATAAATCCCTGTGTGTCCTCCTGCAGCACTCCCGAAGGACAACAGGCAAAACAAGACAAAAAAGTCTGACGTGTTGAGTAAAAACTGCTATTTTTAGCATATTTTTAGGGCCGACGTGTTGCTACCAGACGTACAGTGTGAGCAGTCAGTTCGCATGCGAGAACTGGGTCGTGCAGTGTGAGCACATGACTCGTGAGATCTGCTCTGCGAGGAAGCCGTACAGTTTGAGCTGAAGCTGAACGCTGCGAGTGAAAAAGTCGCATAGTGTCCACCCGGCTGAAGGAGGGTTGGACCTTTGTGTCTTTTCAAAAAGTAGCTCGCGTTTTAACAGCTTTTTAAGGAAATCCGACCCTACTTTTAATGAAACTGTGATTGTTAAAAAAAATAAATAAATCGGTAGCATGTGGGACGGGGAACAGGGCCGGATGAAGTCCTGTCAGCTCTGCTGACATTTTGGAAAATGAACTTTGTTTTTTGCATTTGGGATTTCATTCATATGCAAACAGAATTTTGTTTTTCAGTCATTTAAATCTTTCAAAATGAGTTTTTATTTAAGTTTTGTGGTCAAATGATGACATCACAATTAGGGACGTGTGATCTGATCATATAAGGTCATTAAGGATTATAAAACGATGGCGATCTACCAAAGCTCGGCCATCGTAGAAACTCCAGCAGCTGTCATGAGTATCTGTGTTTCAGCTCTACAAACACCAAATATTTCTTCCTCTGCACTTTTAAAATATAAAGCAAATAATATTAATCCTTTTTTTACAGTATGAACCCATGCATGACAAATACTAATACAACAATAATAAGCCGTATTTACATCAGTTACGTAACACCTCAGATTATTCTAGTATTGTAGTTTTTCCTGATTTTACATATTCATTTTCTACAACAAAACATCTTTGGGCAGAAATGATTAAATTGAGGATAAATAGAACTCTCTGGTTTTGATGCAAAACTGAAAAGAAGTAACTGAGATTCATTTATTTAATTTCAACTCATTATCAATAAGTTATTTTCAAGAAGTTGCACAGATAATACTGATAATTTTTCTGTTAATCCCAAAGTAAAATTTTGTCTGTTGCTATATTCCCCATAGCGGGGTAAGTTGGGTTTGTAGCTAGCCCGGTCATTTTCCTGATCTGGCAGTACTCCTTTACCTTTAGCTTAGCATCAAACAATGTAAGTGAATGGTAACAACTAGCTGTGAGTGTGTGTGTGTGTGTGTGTGTGTGTGTGTGTGTGTGCATGCGTGCGTGCGTGTGTGTGCGTAAAAGGTCAATAAACGTATACAATAGTGATCCTAATTCTGCTTCAGTCTTATTGACTGAAAGTGAAAATGTACAGGCTTGGGAATACGTATTGACCAAAAGATCAGAGTAAGTTCTGTCCAAACATCTGAATCAAACGTCCCTGTGTCCTCAGGTAAAGGAGACGTGTTTGGAGACATCTTTTGGAAAGAAACCACTCTGGCCCACGCATGTGCCAACGTTCGAGCGCTTACGTACTGCGATCTCCACGTCATCAGGAGGGATGCCTTGCTCAAAGTGTTGGAGTTTTACACTGCTTTTGCCAATTCTTTCTCCCGCAACCTCATCCTCACCTGCAATCTGCGCAAGCGGGTAAGATTCTGTCTTTCTCAGACGGAATGATGCTGTTTAGTAATATAGTAATATTTATACCTAAATGAAAGGGACAACAACATTTTAATTAATTTAGAACAGGATTTGATGAAGACATTGAAAGGAACTCCGGTTATGAGGACGTGTATGCCCTAATAAGCCACAAGTTTTCTGTTGTACCAACATATGTTGTTAGAAACACACAAATTATTGCTGTTAATTTATAAATCTATAATATTTAGTGCATTTTTGGACATACGTAGAATGCCATGTTTTCCGCATGCAATGCACTCTGGGGGCGAGGACGTATATTGGTTGCACTTGGAAGAATAGCTATTGACGCTAGTGTTTGTTTACGCGCTCACCGTATTAATAATGACGTAAGATGCCGCATTGTGCTTATTTTGGATGTAATTTCCAGTCAAAGTGCAACAAAGGGAGTGATGTGAGTTTACACAGCTTTCCCACTGGCAAGAAGAGGAGAAAGCAGTGGGAAGATGCCTGTGGACGGACACAACGTCCCATAGATCCGCGACTGTGTTCCCAACATTTTTCTCCTGATGCGTTTGAGGCTTATAAGAAGAATAAGAAAAGGTCTTTTCTAAAGCGCCTCTTAAGATAAAAATCTAAAATATAAAAAAGAATTTAGAAAATGGTTAAAATATATTTAAAATGAGCAAAAATAGACAATTGTGATTAAAAGTTTAAAGAAAGAGAGAGAGTGAATAGGAAAGAGGGAAATCAGTGGATCCAGAGGAAAGTGGAATGGGTAGGGAGAGCAGAACAAGGAGAGGGTGATGAAGGTCATTCAAAAGCCCGCTTGAACAGGTGAGTCTTCAGCTGCTTTTTAAAGGAGACCACTGAGTCCACTGATCTCAGGCTCAGGGGGAGAGAGTTCTAGAGTCTGGGGGCCACAGCAGCAGATGATCTGTCACCTTTGGTCTTTAGCCTGGTGCTGCACAACCAGTAGGCTTTGATCACTGGACCTCAGGGACCTGCTGGGGGTGTAGGGACTAAGAAGATCACCAATGTAAGATGGTGCTTGTCCATGTAAGGCCCTATAGACCAGAACCAGGATCTTGAAATGAACCCTGAAGTTGACTGGCAGCCAGTGAAGCTGGAGGAGAAGCGGGGTGATGTGGGTGTGTTTGGAGGACTTGGTCAGAAGCCGAGCACAGGCGTTCTGAACCACCTGTAGACGGTTCAGGGAGGTTCTGCTCAGACACGTGAAAAGAGAGTTACAGTAGTCTAAGCGTGAGGAGATGAAGGTGTGGAGAACTGTCTCAAGTTCAGAGCGGGACAGAATGGGACTCAGCTTAGCAACGTTCCTGAGATGGAAGAAGGAAGAGCGAACAAGAGAACTGACATGAGAATCCAGGGTGAGAGCTGGGTCAAAGGTCACGCCAAGATTCCTCTCGGAGGTTTTGGTGTGAGGAAAAAGCTGACCAAGAGAGTCTCTGACTTTGGGAACCAGCTTGTCTGGGGCACAGATGAGGATCTCAGTCTTATCTTCATTCAGCTGAAGAAAGCTCCCACCATCCAGGTTTTGATAGAGTCTAAGCAGGTGTGTAACAGCTGCAGCTTTGACATCTCATGGGGCTTAAAGGAGACGTACAGTTGGATGTCATCTGCATAAAGATGGTAGGAGATTCTTTAAAGGAGCTCAGGATGTGCTGAAGAGGAAGCAGATAGAGGAGGAAGAGCAGAGGCCCCAGCACAGAACCTTGTGGGACACCATGGGTAAGAGAGGTGGTGGAGGACCTAAACTTGGAGATAGCCTCAGAAAAGGAGTCGACCACAACTACATAAAGAGCTCACCAGAGTTGCTGGGTATAAGAGAAGGCGGAAACTAAATGCTTTACCGACCATTTTCCCACACACGGAGCCTAACGCCCTGGGAGAGACAAGAGACGCTGGACACTCTCCTGAGCCGACAACCCACCCCTGCAGCTGCCCCTTCTGTCATGTTCAGTGAACCATCGGACATGCCACTTGTTACGGATGAAGCTGAACATTCACCTCTCCTGTCAGTAAAACAAGCAGCAAGTGTAGCAATACAGAGTTCTCCAAATATATAATATCTGCAACAATGATTAAAGTGATTAATGATTAAATTCACTGAATATCCTAATCATCTATAAAGCACACGACAGCTCTGGATGCTAACATTCTCCTAAATTATTCATAATTGAATTTGTTTGATGACACGATAGCTTACCGTTAACTTCTGCTGACAAAAATGTGAGCTCTTAACAACAAACACTCTCCCTCTCGGTTACCGTGGAGACACATTTGCCGCACACACACCACCGGTTTTGTCCTGCACTCGCTTCATCCCGCCCTTCTTGCTCTTCATGTTGACGCTCGTTTTGTGAAACATGGTCAGTGATGTCCTCATTAATGTTTCGCTCTGTTTAAAGTGAAAAGGCTGAACAGATGACGTGGTTGCGATACTGAGTGTCTCAGTCATCCATGCTTGCTCCTCAGCCACAGATTATTTCATCCAATAAGTAATTATGTCTGTGGAGAAACAGCTTTGTAGCATCACTGGTGTTAGAACCTTGAACAGACCGACGGGACTGTAGCATGGCTGATCTGGTGGTGGTGGAAGATTTGGCAGAGCGTGCACTCTGGAGGGAACGAGTCTTTTGTGAGCGCACTGGTCTGATTCCTGAATGAGATCCTTCTGCCATGATGTGGGACTCCTTGTGGAGTGGCAGTCTCATTGACTACCATGAGAACCCCCCCAGTACCTCCTCTGCTCCCCAAAAATACATTTGTTGCCAAAGTAACCAAACTGAACGACAGCTCAGGGGAGGCTGCACTCAGACAGCAAATATTTCCAAACAAGAGCACTGATAGTTTAATGCATTTGCTTCCTTCTTCTATTGCATTGTTTTTACCTTGCTTAGTTTTTTCCTTGGCATCAGTCATTGTTCAGCATTTCAGTCGTGTTGTTTTTAAAACGTGCTTTATAAATAAATTGGACTGTATTGGATTGGAACAAAATGAACTCTGAACAGAATGTGCATACAGCATCTGTAAATGACAAAAGAACAGCTCCTTCAGTCCGTTACGCTACGGTTTTTAGGATAAAATTTTACGTCAAACGTTTCTTTCTTTATTTCTGACAGCATTTACCACCTCTACTACTTGTTTGGTTCTCTATTACTTCAGCAGCCAGTGCCTTCATCTAACTGTCAATAAAGTTTTTTCCTAATTGAGGGCATTTCGGTATGTAAATGAATGAGCGGGCACGAAAACGTAGGTACACACAGGTGGGATTTACCATCAGTCGAGTGTGGAGGAACAAAGGATGGAATATCGGACATCCAAAAGGGTTCAAGTGAAGGCAACTGGACTTCTTTGTTTTTTTTTAAGACGTTTCGCTTCTCATCAGAGGAGCTTTGTCCATTCGGACTAGAATAAGGGAGAGTCGAGTTTATAACCTGCAACTGTCTATGGTTGCTTAACGAGCAGAAACTCACTGTGAAACCCCCCCCCCCTCCATACCCCCGATGGTCGTTGGACGCTATTGCGAGGATGCAGGAAGGTGTGACCTAGACTGAAACAGTTTGGGAATTGGATTCAGAAATGCATTATCGGACAGTTTCTACGAACTTTTGATGCTTTCAATTCTTCTCAGCACCAATCCTGCTGATGCCTTACCCCTCCCACTGTCCTAATGGGTGACCCCGTGAGGAAAGTTGACCATTCAGCAGGGTTGATGGTTTATCCCTTGAGGTCCATGTGGCAGGGGTGAGGAGTGACCACAACCTCACCCCTGGTGGGGTCACCTATTAGGACAGTGGGAGGGTTGCAGATGTTTCCTGGATTGGATGGTCTTAAACAAACTTTTGTGTGTAAAATTATAAAGTAAACGGCTACATCAGTCTCCCTAGTGGTCCTTCTAAGATGTCATCACCCTGTTGTCTCGCCTTAAGAGAGTTTGGAATATTGACTTGGATGTGGATAAATGACCACATCAGGGCTCACTCTGTAGCCGGTGAGCTCTGATGTGGTGATTTGGTTGTTGAACCTGGATTTCCAGTCACCTATTGCCTTAGAGAAGCTTACTAGACCAATAAGACCTAACCTTATAAGCACAGGAATCGCATGTTGTCAGAAGCTTCAGCCTGAAACAGCAAAAACAGCCTCATAACTCAACCTTTACGAGGACATGTGTAGGAGAAGTGAAGGTCAACAGCAGCGAGCTGATCACGTAAAGCTGAATGCAGGCTTAGTTAAATCATATGAGACGGTGTCCTCATCTCCTCCCTGAGACTTCCTGTCTTCTGTGTAGTGATGCATATCGATTAGACTGATTTACCCAAGTGAAGGATAGATACCTTAAATGATCTGCAGTCACTTAAGTTTAAAACCATTCCATCCATTATCTGAGCCCTCCATCATCTCTAGGGTCATGGGGACATCCTGGACAGGTCTCCAGTCCATCCCAGGATGTCCCACATAAAAATCAGAGGAACAGAAACAGGAAGTTGATTATGTCTCTCTCATTTGGTGTCTGGTGGTTCACTTCTGCGTAACATATACAGTCCATCAGCCTCAGATGCAGTGTTGGACCTGCTCGGTGAGAACGGGGGTGGGGGGGGGGTGGGGGGTGGGGGGCAATTACACCGAAAAGATGGAGATGACGTCTCGCTGTTTGATGTCATATATATTGTTGTTCCTCTCCACCGCCAGGATTAAAGCCACGGTAAACACAGCGCTGCACTTCTGGAACGATATAAGTCGTTGGGTCACACAAAAGCTTCATGTATATGAAGCTGCATCGCTGCAGTACTTTTATTTTGAAAATTACCAGGGATTTTACTCTGAAACAGTGTGTGATTTCCTGTCTAGTCCTATGTTAACTGTGGAAATTGACGTGTGCCAGAAGTGGCTTGCGGCCGATCCCATCTTCAGCAGCGCTCCTGCGACGCTCCTGGAAATTGCTGCGTCGCTGCTGGTTTGAAACCCTCCGTAGACGATAATGGATT